AAGTAAAGGTTTGGAAATAATTAGTCTAACCGGGTAACTTTAGTATCTAGAGCATTGTACACAATTTAAACCAATCAATGTTGTATAATTAACAAGGATAAACTAATGTTTTTAGTTGATGAGTACTGCAGATTACTATGCAAAGTTCTAGACCGGAAATACTGTTTTCACCCCAAGCTGTTGCCTGGCAACGCAATTCTGTTGATAGTTTTTTAATATTGCATTAACACCTTATTTTATGTATGCACCACAACATCAAGTCAAATTCCTCGTATGTGTGAACCTACCTGGCAATCATAGGCGGAGTTTGACAATTGCGCTTGGGGCGGCAAACCTTTTTTACTGACGTCAGTACACAGTCCCAACTATTGCGTGGGGTGCTACGGATACAGTAGCAATAAAGCCAGCGTTGACCGCACTTTTCCACATACGAACACAACTCGTCCCGTCATGCACGCCTCATGCCCGCCGTACACACACTCATATGGAAGGGGCGGTCTCTCCCCCCAACAACAGTGCATTACATCTGTAAAACTTATCATAACTGTGCACATCTTATACTTATTTGATAACTACTATATCCCTTGCAGTGGCGAACCGTTTCTATCACAATGGGAACTTCTGTAGACACACACACCTGCCGCGTGGGGAAAATGGTGTTGGTGAACACGATTAAATGTTGTGACTATAACACGAAATGCCGTGAGACTGGGTTGAGTATTTCATTAAAAATAGTCATCAAAATTGGCCACTGAGAGTCACTTCTCCATGATGCCAGTGCAGCAAAGCGTTGCCATGCCGTGTGGTGTGTGTGTGGCGTGCGTGTGTGTGAAAAACAAGCATTGTTGAAGAAAAAAATGTAAGGTTTCCCTATATATTTAGTAACACTTGTAATGTGTGTGTTTGTCATATCTGTTTTCTCCAGATATCCGATCGTGCTTCTTCTCGAGGCCACACCCACTCGAGTGGCACTGTGTCGGCCATCTTGGTGTCATTGTTGCTGATGTGTGTGTTGGCTGGACTTGGTTATTACGTCTTCAAACACAAGACGGACGCTTTCCGCTTCCACTATTTCAGAGTGAGACACGTACACACGGTTGAGAAGTGAAATATTTCATGACTTAATTTATTAACTCTAAATTAAGCTCAAGTCAAGCTTTCATTCGGGTTTGAAGTGTTTTGTGAGCAGGTAAAATGTGTATTTTCGAATTATTGTTAAAATAATACTAACAATATTTTATGTTTTTGTAAGATCTTTGCATAATCTTTTTCAATTTGTTTTTACTTTGAAGCACATTCAGTTTAAGATTGTGAAATTAGCTTTTTAAATAAACTTGGATTTACTTTCTATAAGTAGGAGTACATGTGATGACTGTACTGTGCAAAGCTTTGTGAAGTTACAGAAAAAATCAAGTGTTTATGAAAATTCATTATTGGTTGTTAGGATTTTCTCCAAGAATCGTTTCAATTAGATACATATTAGAAAGCTGTGGCACAAAGCAATCAGTGCAAAACAGGAGACATTGTGGGGACATTGTGTGAAAAAATTGTAAAACTTCACCACCGTCAAAAGGTAAGGCTAAATATGATTACATGTAAATATGAATGCAGCAGATCAGATTAGGATGTTTCTGGACTTTTGAGTCGGAAATATGTTTTTTGTGGACTTCTTAGAATTGTACCTGATCACCAAGCTATCGTTTGTCCTACAAAAGTCATCAAAAAATCATAGTATAGTGTAGTGTGTCACAAAGAATGTCATAGCATAGTATGTCATCAAATTCACATTAGGTCATGAAAATGTTTCTAAACAGTCATAAAAAACCTTTTTTTTAAAAAGCCATAGTATATCAAAACATGTAAAACATAAACATTATTCTGTATAAATTACAATCAATGAGATGTTTGCTATGTGAAGCTAAGAGAGTTTCCTCTGCGACAGAACGAGGATGAGGACGGTGCTGCAGGCGGCAGGATGAAGCCAGCACTGGTCTCCATCGCAAACCCACTGTACAGCGGCTCCAGAGCTTTCAGCGAGCCATTCGGGGTGAGTCTACAAAACAGACACTCAGTAACTTAGTAAGCACTTTGTTATTTAACTGCAGAAAAAAAAGAAAGACTGTTAAACTATAAAAGGTCAATGGTACAGTGACTGACACGTGCAATAAGATAAGATAGACCTTTAATATTCCCCCGTAGGGATATGCACGTGTCAAGCACCAACAGCATAAGAAGAAGCACAGATATTAAATGTGGAATATACAGGGAATTAAAATAATAAAATAATAAACCCTGAAAAAACATATATTAACAGTAAGATAAGATAAGTACTTTATTGATCCCAATTTGGGACATTTTTGCGTATTCATGGTAATAACAAAATAAGGGAGTTAAACTGGAGTTAAACTATGATCCGGTGAATGTACATACACATATACAGATATGTGAGCAGAACAGATACTGTATGTTAAATATCTTTACATTAAAGGTGTGGGTATAAGTTGTTTGTGCATAAAGTGCAAATATTATTAAGGTTCAGAGCAGTTCATTGATAGGTTAACCCTTGATTGTGCAGCCTGATGGCTACAGGCACAAATAACTGTCCTCCCCCCTGATGGTGATGGGGGTCAGAGGCCTCTTGTTGTTCTGCCTGTAGTGCACCACCAGCTCCTTAGTCTTGCTGATGTTGAGCTGGAGGTGATTGTTGTCACACCAGCCA